TGTGTTTTGGCAAATTATCAAGGCCCATTTGTTTTGAAGACTAAATTCCTCATGTATGTAAATCTTGTGTTTGTCCCAATGTAAATTTTAGATGTTTATTTCCAAACTAAAACACACTTGGGCAGAATTATGTAGTTATATATATATTTATGTATTCATAAATATCATTTATATAATGAAACATTATATATAGTAATGAAACAAGACTTGTAAAATTACACTTTTACAAAATCATTTAAAATAAGCACATTTATGTAGTTTTGCAGAACAACTTACACCTCATTGGCTTCCTTTCAAACAGCAGGCACAGGCCCATTAAGACCAGGACAAATGGATTTTAGAAAAGTTTTTCTCCAAGTGCAGTTGCCACAATATACTGCTAAGTGTATGTAACAGACCATAATATACACGTGCAATGCATTAATTCTCTTTTTGTAACAAATATTTACAATAATACACAAGGGTTGAAAGTATAATATGCAAAGGAACGAAAAGGGGAATTGTAGATCATATAATATTTCTTTTATTGCATTGACATAAACACATCCATCTTTACAGATCACTGGTACAGACTAGGGAAGGAGAAACAGCTGGAGATCTTTGCAGATCACAGGTACAGGGCTGGGAGTAGTGTGCAGTCTGAAACCTTTATCTGCAGCCCAACTACAGGAAGAAGCCACAACTCTTTTCAACACCCACTGAGATCTGAAACAGAGAAGTATTTTAGAGGAGACATATAGTTATTGCTTGTTATAACTTAACTATCTTACAAACTCAGCAGAAGAGAAATAAGCTCTGTTTTACTGGAGTTGTCCATGTGAACGTGTGAACTCAAGCTGAACATTTAGCAAGTTTGCTTTCACAAATAGACAAACACATCATGTTCTAATATAATATGAAAGTCTATAACCTGTCTCTATTACATATTTCGAAAATTTAGCACACAATTTAGGCCTTTAATACATGTGTTTGGGCTTCATGCGTCGTGGCTAACGCTAACTTAGCTGCTAGTTGCTAAGTTATGGCTTACCTTGGTACTTGTGTATATATTCTTCATCGCAGAACCCCTTCTCTCGTTTATCTGTCCATGAATTCAACTCTGCGATTGCTTCAGCAGCCGCGAATGAAAAAGCTGGGAAACTGACTAATGTTGGCAAAAATATTAGAGCCGTTTCTCCATAGTACCGGCGCAAACAGGAAGTGCTACCGCCCTACGAGGCGGGACTTCCGGTTCTCGTGATAAAGGTCTATCGCTTGAATAGAGTGGTTTTTATCTTAATTTGAGTACATTTTGACTGTCTTCAAGCAAGATCTGCCAATGGGGCAAAGCCATTTACTCTTCTCTCAAGAACTGTTGCTTTGTGTTCTAATTCTAAGGGATATTTCTTGTATCTTTTTCAAACAAGATATGATTGCTAGTCCAATTGACAAATCTTGTTTAAAGGCAGTCAGAATGTGTTCAAATTTAGATAAATTTTGCCAAATTTGAGCATTTTTTTAAAACTATTTTTGCAGTGTATTTATGTAGCCAGATGGGTATGTCGCCATGTTGTGATTGTATTCGGTAAAATATAGAGAATTTGCTCATTTAGAAAATATCATTTTCAGGTCCACTTGAAACCTAAATATCAGGTCCGAAATCTAGGTGTGATAATGGACTCAGACTTGAATTTTAATCGCCACATCAAATTGGTGACATCAACTGCTTTTTATCGCTTAAAGAACATTGCGAGAAACAGAAATATAGTGTCTAAAGCAGACTTAGAGATCCTTATACATGCATTTGTCTCCAGTAGGCTAGACTACTGTAATGGCCTGCTCACTGGTCTCCCCAAAGGAGCAATAAAACAGCTGCAGTACATTCAAAACGCTGCAGCTCGAGTCCTGACCAAAACCAGGAAGTATGATCACATTAGTCCAGTCCTCAGGTCTTTGCACTGGCTTCCTGTGGCTCAGAGAATAGACTTCAAAGCAGATCTGTTTGCGTTCAAGTCCCTCCATGGCCTTGCACCGAGGTACATCCAAGATAAGAACCATCTCGGACTCTGAGAAGCACTGGGACTGGCCTCCTGCTGGTTCCCAGAGTCAGGACGAAACATGGGGAGGCAGCGTTTCAGATTTAAGCTAGGATATGGAATGGGGTTGTGAAAAAGGCCTCTACCCTTAACCTTGCCTGCAAGCTGAATTCTCGCGGTATTTGTGAGTTCACAAACACTCGAGAATACATCTTGTACCGCTCCCGCTTACACTTTTGGAGTCGAACCACTGGGTGTTCAAGCCAATCAGGCGCCAGTCTGAGGGTTTAGGGCGGGATATCCGGGTTTGACGAAAGCAAGAAGTGCCGGGCCGAAGCAAAACAAACATGGCTACGCAGGAGGACGGACGCGTAGCTGAGGCTATCAAGTCAGTTTTAGCAGAATCTCCAATTTCTTATTTGAAAGATGAACAGCGAGAGGCGCTTTGTGCATTTCTGGACGGCAACCTTGGTAGGCGGGCACACAGCGTCACTTCGCCCAATCAGCTTGAAGTATTCTGCTGCTTATCCCTCCTTTCCCCGAAAGGATTCTCCGGGAGAAATCCCAGATTGATATCGTGGAGAACGCGTTAGAGTTCTACACAATCATCAATCTGGCTCTTGCCAGGTTACTCTACCCTGACCATGTTCAAAACTAGGCTGAAAACATATCTTTTTAGCAGGTGATTATTTTTTGTTCTACTTATTACTTTTACTTTTATTACCTTTTTAAACCCACTTTTTAATGTGTTTTAAACCCCATACTGTTACACTGATCTTTTTTAGTATGCAATAATTGTATTTTTAATGCATTTTGTGTTTTTAAATTTCTCTTGTGAAACACTTTGAAATGCCTTGTACACGAAATGTGCTATACAAATAAATGATTGATTGATTGATTTCAAACAAAGCTTTTTGAAACATACATTCTGCCAGGGTGAACACATTCATTTAGGTGGAACTGTAAAGTATCTAAACATGTGTATAAATGTTTCAGAGCTCTGAGGTCATACTTTTCCTCTTCAAAGGAAAAGATAAAAAGCCCTTACTAATGATGCACAAACAGTACACCTTCAGCCTAGAAGCATAAACCAATTAAGGTCAAGCACTCTACTGTACTCTACTGTACAGGCCTGAGCCACTTTATCTGAGAGCTCTGGAGAAGAGATATTCACACAACTCCACTTGCATCAGTTAATGTCAAGGTGGACGTGACACACAAAAGCTTCTTAAAAGGACACATATGTTTTGACCTTGTTACAACATAATTCCTTCATCAAACACCATTCAGACTAATACCAGACAGTCTGTCCAGCCATTTCATTGTTTTTAGTTTCACTTTTATTTTTTAAATTGAATAACTAGTATTTTCATGTTTTTGTTCAAATGTTTTTACTTTGTGGATAGTGTTAAATGGTTCATTTGAACTCTGTGCAGCACTTTGAAAACTTGATTATAAAATGTGCTAAATATGTGTAAATCAAGTGGATTGGATTGGATTTAAACATAGTACTATGGCCATACCCGCAGGTTAAAGCCAGACCCCATCAGACCTCAGAAGCTAAGCAGGGCTGGGCCTGTGATGGGAGACCTCTGGGAACACCAGGGGCCAGTAAACCCTAACTTCAATTGTACTTCAGATATCAAAGTTATTTTAAATAGATTTTTCCCAGTAAATAAATATTACTCATTTATTGTTAGTTTATTTAAAGCTTGGCTATATCACTCAGGGTGTTCTTTGAATTGAACTGTCTCTGTTCAAGTAAGACGCGTGGAGTCTTTAATAAGGCAGGTGTGTTGGTGACAGGGTGGCCCGGTGGCTGAGTGGGTAGCACCTTCACCTCTCAACTACAGGGTTCTAAGAACGAATCCCAGTCGGAGCATAAATTGGAATTTAAACTTTATTGCAATTGCTTGAGTTTACTTGGTAATATCAAGTAAAGGATGTACTCGAGGAATTCAAGTGAAGTTAATATGCAATTTATTTCCAAGGTTTTTTCAAGTAAACTTTACTTGTCAGGGTTTACAGTGAGGGAAGCTGCGGCTGTAAAGGGCCAAACTGTCGTTGCGTCCATAGGCAAGACACTTTCCCCACATTGCCTATTACACATATTGGTTGCCTCGCTTCTCTCAGTGTGCCCTAAGGCAGTGGTGGCTATAACAGCAGTAGTTTATCACCACTGTTTATGGAGTGAATGATTAATGACGTCTTTGATTGTCCAAAAAAGTGCTATAAAAACCAATGCATTATTATTATTAGTATGATAGACCCATTGTCTGTTGACATCATGGATATACAGCATTTGTTTTGGTTTTGAGTCTACACCATTTCCTAAAAGAGCAGAATGTAATTTTTATGACTGGAGATCATTGGTGTCAAACCCATGTTGGTCGGGGGCCAAAATAAAAAAAATAAAATTCCATTAAGGAACGTTACATATTTGTTTAACTGTTTTAAAAACCTATCATTAAACTTTTTAAGGCATGAAACGCCAAAGTACATATTCTCAAGATCATGTAAAAAAAAAAAAAGCAAGATTGAGAACGGTTAGAAATGGCAAATAAACTGAATCTGAATCTGAAATCATTAGTGAATACCAGATCACTTATCTTGTACAATTCAATTAAGTTTTGGGACGCCAAATAGATTTTATTTTGCATTTGTTTATGCTTTAACATACTCATCTAAAGCACCATACAGAATTAGTTCTCATGCTCCTGAATGACTCACAACTCCCACTGATGACTGCTGTCGTCCTTGGGCAAGACACTTAACCCCACTTTGCCTGAAGCCTCTGCTGAATAAGCAAGGCTCCTGTGGACTCACCACCTGCAGGAGGATCAGTGAGGGGCTGGTGCTAAGTGTACTGGGTGCAGCTATGACTGCCACCCCCCCAAAGCAGAAATGGATTGAGGGAAAGAAAATGGATGGATGGATGGAGTCCTGAATGAAGCCTAGCTTTCATACCCCTGCCTGCACCCTCACCTCGTACTCCTGCTTAAAGCCGTATCCCTCGGCCGTCTTCATCTGGTTGATGTGTTGCAGCAGGTCAGCGACACGCACAGCCGGATGGAGTTGGCCTGTGTGGTACGGAGAGCCTTTCCTCCCACAGTGGTGCCTCGGGGAGCTGCCCAGGAGACTGCTGGCCTCGTTCACGGTGCTCCGGCCATCACCTAAGTCACAGTTCAACCACTACATACCTGTGCATGATGTGTGTGTTTGTATGTGTATCTACGCGTATGAGTGTTGTCTTACTGCGTGTCCCACAGGCATGCGGGTCCATGAAGGACAGGGCCATTCTCTCATCCTCCTGCAGAGTGCTCTGGTCGGTGAAGCTGCGCTCCATGGAGCCCATGTGGTTCTTCTCCTGCCGGTATGTGATGGGCGTCTTATTCACAGGCTTTCTGCAAACAGACCACTCCTACAGTTACCCTTTACTCCCCAGGCTGCAGATAGCATTATTAACTGTATTCATTAACTCTAAAGACCATTCAGAACTTTTTTCCAAATGGAAATATTTGAATCTGTATAAAAGAGTGAAAAATACAGCAATAGATAAAAGTAATATTTGATATTCTATGTTTGATGATTGAAAAGCCAAAGCCAGAGGATGCACATGGGAACACACAATGGAGAGAAGAGGTGGCGTCACTTACGGGTAGTAAGAGTAGTGGTCCCTCCTGGCAGGGTGCAGTGGGAGAGAATAAAACCAAGAGAAAAGAACAAACGGTGTAAGATGAAAGCAATGTCAGCCAAAGGCAGAATGCATTGATTCCAATGAAAATGAGAAGCTGCGCCATTTGCGATACGACACAAGCACATGTACCAAGCAGGTGCTGACAACCAAACCACAGCCAGGCACAAAATGTGTGCTTCCTCCAATCGAACACGGCTCAGTGTTACATGGCCATGGACCAAAGCACGTGGCTTCCTGTCACAGCAAATTTACAAATCAATTCTCCGTGATAGGACTTCATCTCTATAGTCAAGGACTAATGTGCAGAGCTGTGGAGCCTTTAGGATCAACAATATCAATGTCAGCATATGTGCAGCGTCAGCTCTATGCTAATGACTCTAGGAGTCGGAATAATATCCCATTGTCTATATCACACTTATTAATTCACAACTTGAAATGTTCTGCTTACAAACACACACAATGAATGCTGAGCCAGAGGTGCAGATGATCTACTGGAAACCACAGGGACCAGTGACTAATAATCTTTAAAAGTACACCTTTTCCCTTCCAATTACCATCTCATTTGAGGGTCAGGCTGCAGCTTGTTGTGTGTAATTAAGTGGCTAATTGAATTGCATCCGCCTTTAATTAAATTCTTCACAGTCAGATAAGCTCTGCAGAGGAGAGCTGGTGTTGCACTGTGACTGAATGAACACACTGCTATGGCTGTGGCTGGAGCAGCTGAGGGGAGGACTGAACACAGAGGTATGTGTGATGGCGTAGGAGCTTCTGTGTTACCCTTTCTTTATGATGATGATGACCGCTCCCAGCACCAGGATGAGCACGATGAGACCTCCAGCGCAGACGCCCAGGATCAGGCCCATCTCCTCCGAGTTCTGAGACACCTCCATGGCCTTACGGTGGTCTTTGCACGCGGCTGCACACACAGTGGAAGGACAATGTAAAGCATAAGGATAAAGAATGTATATTAAAGTAAAGCCGAACAAACAAACTACTACCAAACCAAACTACATGGCACCGTGGAAGCTGCTGGTTGGAGGTCTCCATGCCTCCGCTCTGTATAATACACTTGAATTCTGTTGTATCTGTTGTTCGTGCTTTGTTCGTGCTGTCTCTACCATCGACAATAAAACATGTCTTCTGTTTGAATTAAAGACGCGATCCCAGACTATGTCATCTTCTTCAATACCATAAACTTCTGGCAAAAAAATTCAACTTTTTTCCTTCTGTCTAACAGCTCAGCGCAGTTTTCTGGCTATTACAACAATATTAATGCAGCTAAATTTCTAAAATGCCCCTAGTTTTGGCAATTTCTGAAGTGACAATGACCACATGAAACAAAATAAAAAAATTCAACTCCCTCTGGCAGTAGTGTAGGGAGTTAAATGTGCATTACGTTTTATCCTTGATGCTTTCTACTTAAGATACCATTTCACATTGTAAAATATGAAATGGGAGTAGTAAATGGCAAACCACAATGGATTCCACGTTATATTTTCTCCACAGTGGGTGACTGTTCTTTTGGTTTGATCCGCACCACATTGGGCTGCAGTTGAACCAGGCATAAAGTGTACAATCACAAAAAACTTGTGACCAACTCTGAGAGTGAATAAAAGGAACCTTTCCCTCTGGTCTGAAACACAGCAGCTGCAGTGGGGCTCTGTAGTCCTTCCAGACCACATACAATTATCAAATAAACCTTGAAAAGGGCTTTTACAAGTGCTTTCATGAGAAGATGAGAATGGATTGCATTAATGTGACATCACAACATTCCAAAGATTTTATAGTTTAACATATTAGTGGAAGGCAGCTGAAACATCATTCCTGGTAACTATTGTCTTAGTTTGGAGCATATTTCTCTAATTCTGGGCTATTCCACATGAAAAACTGTCACAAAGTTCCACATTCTCCTTAACTATGGTAATTATGGTTTAACCATTTTCTCATGAAGGTCTAGTAGTGAAAAAAAAAAAAAAATTATGTTGACCAGTAGAAAGGACTTTCAGACATAAGAATAATATGGTGGGTTTTAGAATCACTATCAAATAATAATCTGGAATATTCCATTAATCTATCTTTATCCGTTGCCGGGTCGCGGGGGCAGCAGTCCGAGCAGAGACGGCCAAACTTCCCTCTCCACCACAGCCAGGGAGATCCCACTCCTGAAGTGTTTTTAGGTCAGCATTTTTTTCTTGCAATAGAGTTGTATTGGCAACTGCCCAAAATACTGACATAGAAACCTACAGTAGCCCCTAATGGGGCTATTCTGACGAGGCAAATTTTTTCAATTCAACATAACAAAGCCTTATACATCCAACTTCAGGTATAGAAGACACCGATTGGTTCCTATGTTGATGCTCTATTGGAGGACAACTGCACGAATTTGAAGCTGTTTTAAAGCCACCCTTTAATTTTGACAACTGCTCCATATGAAAAAACCTGTTAACTAATAACAAATGCAACCTTTTTTAAGAATATTTACCTCCACCATGACTTTTGAATTGTATTCATAGGCTTATACAGTAAATGTCCATGAGAGAGGAGTGCTCTGCGTGTCAATGCTCCTTCTTTAAACATAGTAGTGGATAAGGGACAAAAAGGATGCGAGAATCGCGTTTTTGTTTCACATGAGCTACTGATCTGTAGTTCGCCGTCATAGCAAACTGTCAAGATCGCAAACCACAGGCACCGAAAGACACAGTGAAAACAACCGTAGGCACATTGTGTAGTTTGTACACAACAGATTCACACGTAACATTAATGAGAACGAGGTAGAATATGCAAAACACATCAAATCCCCACAAAACAATCGCCAGAATACTTCATTAGCACCGTGAGTGAATATTCTGTTACAGTGAGGAGCACTGTCTTTGACTGCAGCTATGATGATCTGTGGGGGGATTAGCAAAGACACAATTCTCACTCCTAGGACAACAAAGTCTTGCTTTACACAGGCAATACATGAAAACAAGATCAGGCAATAAAGCAAACAAACGTCTGGAGTCTATAATGGTGACATGAGCGGTAACAGATAAACCCTGTTGTTGAATAAAATGCAGAATAATTCAAATAACTCAAATTTGCACTTTTTATGGATACATGTGTCAATGAAAATATTAATTCAATTTAATGCTGAAGTCAAATAAGCCTTTCCCTCTGTGTTATAGAATATTCTACAAGCATTGTCCTTAAAACAAATCCTTGGCACCACAGAGAATACCATCTCCAACTATATTTATGCTTGCGTTTACCTGTGTTCATCTTTCAAACTGATATGCAGCGCCAAACTGACCTTGCACACTTGTAAATCTACATTGTTATGCCACGGTCAATCACGCACCCTATTGGCAATGCAATTTCTTCCAATATATCGCATTACATTTCATTTTCCTGCACTGGATGGATCTGCGCTGTAATCTCAAGGTGCCCGCACGTCTGCATGCGACAGGGAAAGGTCGTTATCATAATGGCAGGGTTTTCATTTCCTCAGCTAAAGCTTTATACTTATGTAAATGCTGTAGAGGACTCTTTGTCTTGTTCAGGGGCCAATGATCCAGTTTTTGTGTGCGTTGGATGTCAGCACGTTCTCTTGTGTCCAAAAGCACAGCACAGGGCCCCAGGACAACAGATGAACAGAACACTGTAAAAATGTTCTTTGAGATTATTCCAATAAATTGGTTAAAACCAGTTGATGAACATAGACTAGTAGTCCACCAAGACTACTAAACCAAGATCTTTTTCTTAATGAAAAGTATTTTTAGCTCAAATGTTGCAATGTGTTATTTGAATGTATCAATTTCATGTCTTTAACATGTCACATTATTAGGTATTTTGATGCTTGGACTGAACCAGAACTGGACCAAAAGAAAGAAAGGTAAAAAATCATTACAAATTGCATTGTGGGTTCAATGTTTCAAATAAAACAATTTATGCAGTTCTTTACTTGAGACAATTGTCTTTAAAATTATGTATAATATGCCATGGTAGCTCCTAGTAACCGCTCACTAACAAAGTTTATAATAACTTTCTCAGGGAGAGGAAAATTTTTATCTGTGGCCGGGTGGTGGAGGTAGCAGTGGAGCTCAAACGTTTGTATCCATGGATTTGTCCTTTCGGTCGTAACCCAAAGCTCCTGAACGAAGGAGTAAAGTGGAAGGTTTGCCTTTGAAGTTACATACACCTGGAGAGACCAAGGCACCAGAACCTTGGACTTGCAGTCAGAAGCACTGATCTTCAGTAATTGATTGACTGCGGAACCTTCCGCAGTCAACCATTGGTTTTGTATTTCTTTATTCCGTCATTTTTTTTGACACGTTTCACAGCTTTCACATTTTCAACAATTTCCACAAGTTATACATCAAAACGTTCCACATGTTTGGGAGATTATTGCTATTACTTTTGGGACTTCAGCGATTTCCGGTTTTTCCGCAATCGGACAAAAATCTGCATTGAGAATTCTGCAATGCATTTTAATAGGCCCATGCATTTTAATAGGACTTCAGCTCTTTCAGACATTTCTACAGTTTCAATGATTCAACAGTTTCAAGGATTCAACAGTTTCAAGGATTTCAGCAGTTTCAAGATTTCAAGAGTTTCAAGGACTTCAACAGTTTCAAGGACTTCAGCAGTTTCAAGGACTTCAGCAGTTTCAAGGACTTCAGCAGTTTCAAGGACTTCAGTGTAAATCATGCAACCTAATAGGGATTTTTCCATGTAAACCAGTATAATGCAACTTAATAGGGATTTTTCCATGTAAACCAGTATAATGCAACTTAATAGGGTTTTTTCATGTAAACCAGTATAATGCAACTTAATAGGGTTTTTTTTCATGTAAACCAGTATAATGCAACTTAATGGGGATTTTTCCATGTAAACCAGTATAATGCAACTTAATAGGGGTTTTTACATGTAAACCAGTATAATGCAACTTAATAGGGATTTTTCCATGTAAACCAGTATAATGCAACTTAATAGGGATTTTTCCATGTAAACCAGTATAATGCAACTTAATAGGGATTTTTCCATGTAAACCAGTATAATGCAACTTAATAGGGATTTTTCCATGTAAACCAGTATAATGCAACTTAATAGGGATTTTTCCATGTAAACCAGTATAATGCAACTTAATAGGGGTTTTTACATGTAAACCAGTATAATGCAACTTAATAGGGTTTTTTACATGTAAACCAGTATTATGCAACTTAATAGGGATTTTTCCATGTAAACCAGTATAATGCAACTTAATAGGGTTTTTTTTTCATGTAAACCAGTATAATGCAACTTAATGGGGATTTTTCCATGTAAACCAGTATAATGCAACTTAATAGGGTTTTTTTTTACATGTAAACCAGTATAATGGAACTTAATAGGGATTTTTCCATGTAAACCAGTATAATGCAACTTAATAGGGTTTTTTTCATGTAAACCAGTATAATGCAACTTAATGGGGATTTTTCCATGTAAACCAGTATTATGCAACTTAATAGGGATTTTTCCATGTAAACCAGTATAATGCAACTTAATAGGGTTTTTTTCATGTAAACCAGGTATAATGCAACTTAATAGGGTTTTTTTCATGTAAACCAGTATAATGCAACTTAATGGGGATTTTTCCATGTAAACCAGTATAATGCAACTTAATAGGGTTTTTTTTTTACATATAAACCAGTATAATGGAACTTAATAGGGGTTTCAAGGATTTCAGGAGTTTCAATGTTTCAACAGTTTCAAGGATTTCAGGAGTTTAAAGGTTTCAACAATTTCAAGGACTTCAGGAGTTTCAAATATCTATCAAGTATTTTAACAGTTTCAAGGCCTTTTAAAGGATTTCAAGGATTTTTTTTAGCAGATTTCCACATTAGATCTGTTCCGCAGTCAATCGCAATGGCTTCAGCCATTGCAAGTTTCTAGTTTCAT